GAAAACCACTAAAGAACTTTGAAAAAAATTAGAAGACTTATATTTGCTTAAGTCTACACCGAATAAACATTACTTACTCGAATGTTTTTTCAATTTTAAAATGGATTCTTCAAAGGATCTCGATGAATTGGTGCAAGATATAGTTAATTGTGATGAGGCTATGTCCGAAACTTATAAACCTATAATTTTGCTCAATGCGATTCTTGATTCCTATAAGGAATTTAAGAATGTCATTAAGTATGGCAGAGATACGTTGACACCTAAAATTGTCATAGACTCCCTTAGAAGTAAAGAAATAAAAATTAGGACTGAAAAACACGATAAGAGGAGCGGTGAGTTACATATGATGTGAGGTAGAACTCAATTTAGGCAAAATAATCATGATGGATATCAAAGTGGTGGTGAGTCAAGTGGCAATGGATGGAAAAAGAAGAGCAAAGGTAGGCCTAGATCAAAATCTAGAACTAAGGCAAGAAAATACTATGGTTGTGGAAACACAGGGTATTTTATAGAGGATTGCCATAAGGAGAAGGGTAAGCTAAAGGTTAAGGAGAGAGATGAGGTCAAAGTGTTAACATTTACTTCCAATATAGATGGTGGTGAGGTCTATATGATTACAAGTCCCGTTGCATACATTGCTGAATTAAATCTAACTGCTAATTCCCGCATGCATGAGTGAATACTTGACCCTGATGCATCTTTTCATGTGAGGTCTGAAAAGAATTGATTTTATAAATTGCATAAATCTAATGTTGGGCATGTTATGCTGCGTGATAACTTTGTCTATACTATTGCTGGAATTGGTGACATAAACATAAAATTTGACACACGTTTTGTGTACACGTTAAAAGATGTTAGATATATTCCTGAATTATCTAGGAATCTGATTTCAGTAAGGAGACTTGAAAAGGATGACTTCACTGATAAAATTGAAAATGGTATGCTAAAAATTATCAATGGTGCTTTAGTTTTCATTAAGGGAACTAAGAAAACGATATCTATGTCACTACTGGGGAAGTGATTAGAGGTTTGAACTCTTTTATCTCTTCTGCCAAGATTTATCACACACACACATGGCATAATAGACGTGCTCACGTAGGCATCAAGGGACTTAAGCTACTTAATGAAAAAAGTGCATTTAGTAATGACTGTATGTCAGATTTGTCATTTTGTGATCATTGTGTGCTTGGTAAGCATCATAAAACTTCGTTCTTCACGAGTGTTAATAGAGCTAAAGACATGCTTGAATATGTGCATTCTGATCTGTAGGGTCCTGCTAGTAATTTCACATCGGGTGGAAATAGGTATTTCTTGTCTATTATCGATGACTATACTAGGAAAGGGTGTCTATCTATTGAAAGATAAATCTGAGACTTTTTATAATTTTAATAAGTGGAAGAGACAAGTGGAAAATCAAACTGGCAAGAAAATCAAATTTTTAAGGACGGCTAACGATCTAGAATTCTGCAATACGGAATTTGATAGTATATGTAAAGAAAACGGCATAACTAGACATAAAACCGTTCCTTACACTCCCAAGCAAAACGGGGTAGCGAAAAGGATGAATAGGACCATACTTGATAAAGTACGTTGCATGATGTTAAGTTCTGGTGTTCCCAAGTCGTTTTAGGGTGAGGCTGTTATGACTGCTTGTTATTTGATTAATTTGAGTCCTTCTGCTGAATTGAATGTTGACACTTCGCATGAGAGATGGTTGAGTAAACTGAGTGATTACTCCATGCTTAGAACTTTTGGCTGTACTGCTTTTTCTCATCAGAGTGAGGGAAAGCTGGAACTTAGAACTAGGAAGTGTGTCTTTCTAGGATACCCTGAGAGTGTTAAGGGTTATAGGTTATGGGATAGAAGCCAAAAAGGGGTTAAGATCATTATAAGTAGGGATGCCACGTTTAACGAGAATGAGATGCCGTGTATTAAAGGGAAAATCGAACCTGAGAGTGAAATTGAACCAGGTGAAGAGAAAGACCAGTTTAAAGTGGAGTTAGGAAAACCCAGTACACCTACCCCTACTACTCCTAATGAGGTGGAGATTCAGGTTCAGGAACTTGAGGTGGAGAATAGTAACGAAGTAGTGATAAAAGAACACCTTGAGGAAGAAAATTTCTTAGCTAATTATAATCTAGTTAGGGATAGAGAGAGGAGATAGACAAGAGAACCTAGAAGGTTCGATTTTGAATCTGAATTAGCTTTCGCTCATGCTAGTTATGAAGAACTAGCTGATAAAGAGCCAAAAACCTTTGAAGATGCGATATGTAATGATCAATCTAAGGAGTGGCTTAAGGCGATGAAAGAAGAGATGAGTTCTCTAGAAAAGAATTAAATTTGGGAGCTGGTACCTAGACCTAAGAACAAATTGATCATTGATTGCAAATGGATTTTTAAGGTTAAGGAAGGTACTAGTAGTTCGGAACCCTTAAGGTTTAAAGCTAAGTTAGTGGCTAAGGGTTATACACAGAAGGAGAGCATTGATTATAATGAAATTTTTTCACCAGTTGTTAAGTACACCACTATTAGGGTCATACTTGCCTTGGTTGCGCATTTTGACTGGGGATTTGAACAACTTGATGTAAAAACTACTTTTTTATATGGTGAGCTTGACGAACAAATTTTCATGAATCAACTAAAATGTTTTAAGGATAATTCAAAACCTGATTATGTATGTTTTCTGAAAAGGTCCATATATGGCTTAAAACAATCACCTAGACAGTGGTACAAGATGTTTGATTCCTTTGTACTAGCCATAGGGTTCTAAAGAAGTAAATTTGATTACTGCTTGTATTTTCAACACAATGAAACTGATGATAATTATCTATTTTTGTTGCTCTATGTGGACGACATGTTCTTGATTGGTTTTTCCTCTAAATGGATAACTAATATAAAAGCAAAACTAAGTGGTGAATTTGACATGAAAGACCTAGGTAAGGCTAAGAGAATCCTAGGGATGTAAATAGAAAGAGATAGGTCGAATTCTGTTTTGTTCTTGCATCAGTCTCCATACATATCTAAAGTATTGAAGAAATTTAATATGAGTGACTGCAAACCTGTCACATTGCCTCTTGCCAATCATTTCGTTTTATCGAAAGAACAATCCCCTTGCAATGAGCGTGAAGTAGAATATATGAGTAGAGTGCCTTATTCTAATGTGATTGGTTCCATAATGTATTTGATGGTTTGCACTAGTCCGGATTTAGGTTTTGCGGTTAGCACTCTCAGTAGATACATGGCTAATCCGAGCCCTAAACATTGGGAAGCGTTAAAATGGCTATTAAGGTACTTGAAGGGTACAAGTGACGTATGTTTAAAGTTTAGTGCTAATAAAGAAGGTGTAAAATTGAATGATTTTGTAGATGCTGATTATGCGGGAGATAGGGATGGTAGGAAATCGACTTTGTCTTACGTGTTTACCTTATCTAATTCATGTGTTAATTGAAAATCACAATCACAATACATTGTTGCACTATCCACTACAGAATCAGAATATATTGCCACCACTGAAGCTATTAAAGAAGCTCTATGACTTAGAGATCTACTTCATGAACTATGTGTCTTGAATGATTATGTGGTAGTGTATTCTGATAGTCAATCATCTATACATTTATACAAGGATCCCGTTTTTCACGAGCCCACTAAACACATTGATGTTAGACTCCACTTCATTTGAGATATAGTATCTCAAGAGGCGGTAAGGCTAGAAAAGGTCCACATACACTATAACCCTTTCGATATGGGCACGAAGGTACTGCCACTAGTAAAGTTTAGAAGTTGCAAAGAACTTCTAAACATTGGTAAAGGTAAATGATTTTCAATTTTATTGGTTTTTCGTTAGAGGCGTCACTAATGGGAAACATTCTTTCTTGTACGTATTTTGATACCAAGGTGGAGGTTGTTGGACATACTGTTGTCAAATGACCTCCCGAGCGATGATGTAAACCGTTATTAATTATCAGTCGACGATTGCAATATGACTGAGCAATAAATCAATATCAAATTGTAACGACCCGACCCAAGAAGAGATTAGTCTATTTGAAGCAACCAATTAAGTTGTGTTGCTCATGGGCTATGTTTTACCTATTTGGATGGCTAGCTATTTTTTTAGGCCCGCACTATTGTCCACTTATATGGTATTGGACCTTGACTTATTACCTAAAACCTAACTTACCATAATTTGAGACTTGGTACAATATATTCTCCCGACCCTTCACGCCACTATGAATGAAATAAGACTTGGTGTCTCTTTCTCCTTCTTTGCGTGACTTTCTCTCGGCCTTCACTACCTTCATCTTCTGCCATTCTCTTGAGTGCATATATCATGGTGATATTTCTCCCTTTGTGGTGTTCTTGAAGTGACAAAAGCTAAGCAACCATAGGTGAAACCTTTGTGGTGTTCTTGGATCGTTTGCTTTGGTGTTGATTTGGCTTCTTGGTGAATTGAGCCTGTATATCTCCTTGGTGGTTGAAGAAACTTCTCCCTTACAATTAGGATTATCGGAAACAAAATTTGATACAAAGTTTCCATAAACAATATATGCATACAATTGTTTAACCTTTTTTTTCCCCATAAAAGACCGGTTCATCATATAATCGATAATTTCTTGATTTTCGAGTTTTTGTTAATTGAATGTATGCATTTAAATAAAAGATGGTAAGCGATTTGTTCAAAGGTTATGATTTTGGGATTGATGGACTATTTTACCAGGGATGATGTATTGTTCAACTTTTTTGTCAAGTTTTTTTTATTCCTTTTTCTTGTATATTCGTGAACACGTCACAAATTATGTATGCCATTAGATTGAATCCATTACTTTTCTTGAAAGATGCTATGTAATTGAAATGAAAACGGAAGTTAAATGACCAAATTGAAATAAAATTAAGTATAGTGACTAAAAAAACTTCACTGAAAGTTTAGTGACCAATAACGTTTTTTATTGATTTCTACTTTCTAGAGTTTAAAAATGAAAAAGATAAATACAACTTTCGGGCGACAATAAAAGAAATAAATACAAAAGGACGAAGCGATCCTCCTTGGTTCAGAAAGAAGTGATTCACTTGTGCTTTTCTTCTTTTTCTTCCTTCAAATCTCCCAATTGTCGCAGAGGTAAGAATTCTCTTTCATCCTTTCCTTTCACGTATGTTTATGTAAAAAATTAATTTAGAAACTATTAAAGAATGAAGGAAAATGAAGCAATAAGGCCCTGAAATTCTGCAACAGCTTATTATTACTGTACCCTTTCATTAATCTTTCTGAAGAAATTAATTATGGGATTTATACAGCTGATCGTAGTTTTTAATTCTTTTAAAATAGAAGTACAGTTCATATTTCCTTGAAAACAAACTGATACAGATAGTGGTTATGAAATTTGGCTTATATGTCGTGTATATATGAAATTTTTGTTTATTGTTTTGTAATAGCGAATTATTTATTAGTTGAAAGGTTAGAAATGTGAATTTTCAGTGGAAAGAGTGGTAGAGCTTGGTGATTAGAAAATTAATAGAAGGTTAACTTTAATAGTAGAATAGTTCCACTTTCCATATCAGAGCTAGTTAAATTTAGGAATACTACTATATAGTATACAATTGGAACGATAAGAGTTACTAAGGAGAAAAATGCTCTGTATGCTAAAAGATTTGACATCGTATGGAAGGAAAATTATACTATCCTCCTATCAATAAACTGTGCACTTACATTTAATGTCCATTGAATATTATCTGTGTACTAAATCCATTTAACTTCTTTGCGGTACTAGGCTTATTTACCTTAGTGCTTAGTGATTTCTATGTGCTTCTTTTTACATCGGACTGACGATTGATATATTAATTGTATTATTCACCTGAATGTGTGAAAATATATGCTCAAAACCTTTTTGGTGTTGGGGGTGTGTGATAAATTGAAATGATTTTCTGCTGCAAAATTGATTTGAAGTATTAATAATGTACCTTGTATGCTGTGATTTTTGTAAACAGTGCAGAGTCTGCGGTGTCTTCTTTTTCATCACTCTCTAGAGTAGCTAAATGTTGTATTATGCTTAACCACAGAAATATTTGTATTGCTGGATATTTTTCGTTAGTACTTTCTTCATGTGTGTGATTATTTAATTTTGGAGTTTCAAATGGAATTTGTAGGACCCGTAGATTTTTGACTGGTTTAGAACTTTTCATGTCTTCTATGTAGATGGATCAATCTCTTTCTTCCCTTACATTTAAAGGATCAATTGCGGAAGCAATTGCTGAAGCGAAACAACAGAAGAAACTCTTTGTTGTCTATACTTCTGGTAAGTGCCTTTTATATGGACTTGATTTCAGTGTGTTTAACCAAGTTCCACATAGACAATTGTTAAACAATAGTTTGTGCATTTCAGTCAATTATTTTATCTTTCTAAACCATTTGGGGGCAACTAGTGTGCAAAGAGCTTCAGCATTTTTTTAATGGATCTTGAGTGCCTCATCGGCATTCACTTTACAAGGGGAAAAAAAATGAGGCTCAGATACTGAAGCTACAAGTCACTTTTAATCATAAAAAAATTCCATGCTTGCGTTGTGCCTGATATCATAATGGCCTCCATCAGTCAGATAATTCTATGTATTTGAAAAAATTCTTATTCTCTCCTCTTTACGAGTCTGGAGGTAAGGCTGGGTAACACGTCATACAAGGCATGCCTCAAGGTGTATTTCGCAAAAGCACATTTGGAAATGCTGTTTTAGATAAGCCAGTTAAATCTTATAATGGATTCACTTTATACGGAATTAAGATACAGCATGCTTGGTTGCATTAACTATTTATACATTTGGTGCTTGCACGTCGTCGTTGTTGCTTTAAGATGAAAACCTTTATTTTTCATTTTACATTGTATGCAATTATGACAGATTTTTGAATATTAATATCTACGGAACAACTTTACAAGATGTATGAATGCTTCTACTAAGACAACCAGTAACTTCCCATATCATTTTTGAGTCAGCACTAAAATGGAAATTTATTTTTGTTTTGTCTTAATTTTGCGTGCTAGGTGAAAATCCGGAGTCGAAACTTTTAGAATCATCCATTTGGAGCGATCTGAATGTACGTTCTCTAAAATGATCGGCTAGATGTCACTTAATTGTAAAGAAAATATTCTCTGTTCTTATTGTCACATGCTGTGTTCAGGTTGCTGAGTCATTGACAAAGTACTGCATTTTGTTACACATCTTGGAAGGAAGCTCAGATGCGACGAACTTTTCAGCAATATGTATCCTTCTGTTGAATTCTAACTTCAAAATGTCTTTTCTTTGTTTGAGCTGACATTATGACATAGTTTACACCACACATTGGTCAAGGAGAAGTTGGGTCTTCTTTTGAAAAATGGTATTAGCAGAATTAGATAAAAATGAGTGGAAGGGAAGTTTAAAATGTCTCTGTGCCTTTTCTTTTTAATCTTCAAATGTTGAAGACTCCTACTGAAGTGAGAATCTTGCTAAAGACTGTCCACATGAGCATGTTACATGCATATTTGTTGTGATGTGTTGTGTAGACTTGTTCATGTTACTTGCCTAGTTAACCTGGTGTTCATCACACTGTAATTGTTTGTCTTCTGTTGAATGTGTATTTAATTTTGGTTCCTAAGGTCAAAATATTTTACTTGATTTCCTGTTCTATCTTCAACATTTGGAAGTTAGTTTATATGTTCTGACAGACAATTGGACCACTAAACTATCCCAGTATACTCAAATCACATTCTCCAAAAATGGCCACGAAACAAGTGCAAAATGTTGAAGAGTGAAAATTCTTCAGTAATTGATTAAATTTTCTGTACGAGTTTTGGGAGGGATGGAGTTTCTTCCTCTATCAAGAGCCTTTGCTTATGAACAATGAGGGTGAAGCAAAAGAGGAAATGCAGATTTAAAAATATAAGTATTCTCAATCAAATTTTGAGAAGATAAAATAATGTTGCTCCCTCAACATGTGAATGCTTCAGTTTCCTTTTTGCAAATTGAGATGTCCTAAGTACACTTTCCAAAATATATATCGCTTCTTAAAAATGTCCCTTGCTTCAAGTACACGATGTAGACAATGTCCTTTTAACCTGTTTTCTAAAAACTTCATGTCAATTCAATGCATTCCATTGAAATGTGGACGGGAGGGAGTTGAAAAGTACACAAATGAAGATATTCTCTCTTATGCCACTATTTCTTTTTCTATCTTTATCTTCCTTCCTTCCCCTCCATTTTGTTTATGAAACAAGAATGGAGGAACGTATACTTCCTCTAATTGAACCCAGCTAAGTGTTAGTTTCAGATCAATTGGCATTTCATATCATGTAGTGCTAGTTGAGTAACATATGCCAAATAAATTTTGAAGCATTAGCAAGATATGAAGTTTGCACCTTGCATCAAATTCTGCAGATCCACACAATTCTGTCCCATGTATAACTGCTATTGGATACAACGGTGTACGTCTGTGGGAAAAAGGTATGAAGTTCCTTAGAAATGGAACTTTATTTTTCATAACAGTTACATCAAACTGACTCTGGCATCCTTACATTTTTATTTTTTATTTTGAAATTTTTAGAGGGATTTGTCACTGCCGATGTTCTTGTTTCCAATCTTGAGAAAGCATGGTTAAGTCTTCATGTTCAGGTAGGCTGATGTTGGCTTTTATTATACCAACAGAATATTCAAGTCTATGTCTACAATTGCTGCCAATGCAAATGCAAATGTCATTTTGATGGCACAGCTTTTGTATTGGCAGCAATCGTAAAACTGCCCTTTTTGGGCCTTACTATTACCTAATGATGTAAATTTTTTGACATATGCATATTTGTTTTTCTTTGAATAACATTAACTGGTTTGGTCAAAGTGACTTTAGAAATATGGGATTTCCTTCAAATATTACCACTTATATGTTTTTAATCCTTCAGCCTTCAGGCCATATTGTAGCTAGTTTACTCAGTGTTCTAATTCATGATTACTTTAAACCTACATGGCATCTTGTTTAGTTACTCATGGCACCATTGTACTTTTTTCACATGCCTTTTGTATGTGAAAAGTGAGATAATGTGCTTATGTCCTAGAAAACTAAGACTCCTTTCATACTTTCATTTTTGTCCTGTGTTTGTCCTCGTACAAATTCTTGGCAGAACTTCCATTATTTATGAGTTCCTTTCTATCAGCATAATAATTACTAAACTGCCACATTTCTTATATCATACTATCAGTTGCCTTTAGCAGCATCATCAGTGTCTTGCTGTACAATTTAATTAAATTAAGATAGGATCAAATGTATTTGATTTTATTGTCACACTTCTATGGAAACCAATTCAATTATATTGTACTTGTTGATAACATTCATGCTGGCTATTCCACTTTTCTATCTGGAAATGAGGTCACATGCAAGTCATTTGAATGTTTAACAGGAAGAGATGGTTTCTATCGAGTGGGGGACCTACGTGCACCTAAATTGAAAGTTCGGTATCTAAACACCAAAAAATTTGAAGGGCACAAAAGTTCTACATTAGTCAAAGTTTGGGGACTATTGTTGCAAATTTCTCATTTTTTTATTGTAACTACCCTAGGCAGGTGTACATGTGTTAATAACAGAATTTAAACGAACTGAATTATGCCTGCTTTCAATCAGTTATATTTTGGCCAAACATGTTATGAATGTCTGCGCAGGAATCGACTGCAGCTTTCTTGACTGCTGCACTTGCTTCTAAGAAACAACATGCTACTGGTTCTGAAACTGGTTCATCGGAGCATGAGATTGATATTCCATCGGCTTCAACGGATAATAAAGTTCAATCTATGCATGCTGAACAGTCATTGAATTCTGTGGAAGCAGATGACAGAAACAGTTGCAAAGATGCTTCTCAGGTGAAATTTATTGTGGCTTGGGTATTGAATTTCTCCTACCGTATCTGATTTGGTTCTATTTCATAATCTCTCACGTGGACAGGAGATGGATTCTGAACGGATTCTGAATGGGGATTCTTCGACAACCGTAACAGAAAATATATCACTGAATCCATTAGAAGTACATCCAAGTAACTCTGAAGTTGACCATATTTTCCTGGACAAAAATGTGGACTCCCATAACCATCATTTGGATGTCGGCAAAGATATTTCTCGTGAGATTTCCAGCAAGGAAAATGAAGCACAGTTTGATGTAGAGAATACTGAAGAAAGTGAAAAAGCTGATGTTTCGGATTCCTCTGCTGTTCAATCAAATGATGTGTTTTTAAATATTAGATTGCCTGATGGATCCAGTTTACAAGTGAAGTTCTCCAGAATGGACACCTTGAGAATGGTCAAAAATCATATAAATGAAAATCAATCAACCAGCTTTGGCTCTTATAATTTAGCAATTCCATATCCCCGCAAGGTTTTCGGTGACCAAGGTATGCTCTGATTACCAATATTATGGTATTGATTTAGCTATTTTGTTTTGGATTCATTGTTAAGAGGTTACCAAAGTGCACTGGAATGAGGTGGATGGGCACTGTGATCCAAACGGAAAAAACTAAAAAAGTTTTCTGGGATGAGGAGGATGCCTCATTCTTCTGTTAATTGAAGTTTTTAAACTTTTTTTTCCCTACTTCGTGCGATCACCATTTTTTCATATATATATATATATATATATATATATATATTTATTTATTTATTTATTATTATTATGTTTTTTGCATATTATAATGTCGTTGAGGTCCTAAAGCAATCTTAGTTCTTAGGGTACTTCTGTGTCACTGGACCATCTATTCTATGGAAATATGCTAGTTCATTTCCCTTTTGTCATGTCCTCTGTATGTCTTCAGTGGAATATGCTTGTTTGTTTTCTTCACTATTTTAATCACTTTGCGAATAGTTTATGCTCTTGATCTTTTGTGTTGTCTTGTCTTGTCTTGTATTTTTTTTTTTTTTTTAATTTATTTTTTGCCCTTATGCACAGATTTGGACGGCACATTATCAGAATTGGGTCTGACCAAAAGACAAGCATTAGTAGTGGTTCCGAGTAAGGGAACTAATTTGCAGTTCAAAGGAGGATCATCATCATCTTATCAAACTAACTCTTCCAATGATGTTGATCCTTCAAATGGTAGCAATCAAGGGTATTGGGCATTGTTGAAAACAGCTTTATCTTACGTGAATCCTCTCTCCTATCTTGGTGGGGGTGCCAGCTCTTCGAGTTCGGCTCAGGAATCACAAAGTGGCACATGGCAGTATAGTAAGTTACCTAACTTCTGACCTCTTTTAAAAATTTAATCTGGGTAAAATAAACACGGAAATAGGCACATTGAATGATTTTCTGATTGATAGTGAACTTCATGGTTAATCCACCGCACACCATTTTAGCTGAACATCTTTCTGTATGCTGAATCCAGAATCTTATGATCTGAGCTCTAATAAGTGGTTGAGTTGATGCCGGGGCCATTGTTTGTGTTTTATGATAAGAGTATGTCTGTTTCTTGGAAATAAGTGGGATTTCACAAATTTTCAAGAAATTCGGAATCTGAACTTTAATTTGTTTATTTCATCAAGACGTTATATTTTATTGGACTAGAAGAAATTGAGATCGCCGTAAGAATTTTTTTTTTTTTTTGTTTTTAAACGTAATTTTAACTTAAAAGAGTTCAGATCATCAAATGAAACTCCTGAATATTTATATCCCTCAAGAACTCAGTATTCTGGACAAATCTTCCCTGCATGTCTGTTCAAATATCCTTGAATAAAGAGATCTTATCTTGACCAGGGTTTGTTAAATCTATTATAACAATGTCTACCCAAAATGTTGCTTTGTTGCTGTATCTAATTCTATTTATGAAACTTGCTCGCTAATAAGAATTATCAACTCTTTTCTTGACTATTAAAATCCTACTTTTGATGTGTGTGGCTTCTGCTGCCTTATCCTTTTCTACCTGAATAATGTTTGTTTTTACATAATTTATACACCTTTCCTTACAATTATGCGAAAGTTTATACTGTGTGTGTGTGTACTTATTTTGACTTTCCTTCTATGCGTTACATCTACGAATTTCACGTCTCTCTATATTTTAAGTTCTTAGCCCAATTCTACTATCTTTAGTCATCTATATCCATTGAAATGTGAAATCTTGATGTCACTTGTGGAGTGAGTCACATCTAATTCTTGCCCATTGTTCACCACCACCTGGGTCAGATGCAGGAGGACTAAAATTTGTTGAATAATTTGCCCCTATTTGGGCTCCATTTTATTCAAAATGTATTTCTCTCTACATCATACCAGACTACCATTGCTGCTTCCACTGTCAGCACCACCTCCATTTTCCCCAAAAAACCATAAAGTTTTGAAATCAGAGCACTTGATCAGAATTTATGTTGGATCTAGCACCTGAATTAGGATAAAATTGATTGACTGAGTTGAAATGTTTATGCATTTTTTCATCAGATCCAAAATATGTCTGCCCAAACTTGATGGTCTTATTATACCATGATTGGTGAGGTGGTAGCAATGGCTGGATGCCATTGACAATTTTGACCCTTTTTGGCTTGTCGTATGGTAGATTTGCACAATTTATGGGTTTGGAAATGAGTGTTTCAAGGAGTTGGGCTGTGTCAATGATGATGTGGTGTCGTTTTCAGTTGTGGATTTTGGTTCTTTTAGGTGGTTCTGATGGTGATAATTGTTGTAATTTTGGGGAAGAACGGCAATGGCAGTGGTCTTTGTAATTTTGAAGGGTGATGGTAGCATGATGGCAGTTGTGTTCTTGTAGTGACATGAACCTAGAGCTGTCCTTGTTCTATGGGGTTGTGGTTATGGTTTTTATCTTTTGTTTCTGTTTCTGTTTTTGTTTTTGTTTTATAATAAAAAATTATTCCTTTTGGATTGTGTACGCGGGGAAGAGGAAGAGGGAGGGGGGGGGGGTGCGTTTCCACCATTTTATTTTTGTTGTCTTGTTTCTGAAGTTCGGAGGCAGATTCCATTAACTTCATTGTAAATTGTGGAATTTTTTAGTAGTTGATCATGGATAATACCAAATTTGACACGAAAGGGATGATTTTATTGTGTTAGTATTGAAACTCAATGGAGTGTTTTGACATATTCCAGTGTTCTCATCTTAATCTACCTGAGAAGGAGATCGCCTCATATCTAAATGTATCTTCGTCTAGTTTTTGGGCAAAAGAGATATTGTTTCCTTTTTAAAGTGTGATAAAGAAATTCCGACTAATGCATGGATTTTCATGTTTTAGGTCCAAACTCCTCAGTTGTGAATAACCCAAGGGGTGTTGGTCGACCGTCCACTGATCAAAATACATCTACTAGCAGCAGGGGCAGGCAGCAACCTTCTCAGTTTGGTGGAAACATCCACACCTTGAAACACGAGGATGATGATCGATTCAATGACAAAAATGCCTTTTGGAATGGAAACTCTACACAATATGGCGGTGATAGTGATGGAAAATGAGCAGAGTCGCGCCTTTTTGCTACTGCATAGTAAGAACTTGCGTTTCAATTCAGGCAAGGGGATAGTTGTTCCTTCCTCTACGAATCATTTGATAATTATCTACTTATTGTTAATAATTCACCTCTTTACATCTTTGTTGTATTGGAGTGATTTCTAGTCTTGGTTTAGAATGGAATATACCATTTGTGATTTTCTTCCCCCTATTAGGTTCTAATGACATCAAAATTAGTCGAGGTTTGGCTATTTTTGTTCGCTTAAAGTTGGAAAATGGTCTAGAAGGGAACTTCTATCTAGCTGTTTCGATGAATGACCGTGTATCTAAAGCTGAATAAAATTGTATTATTAGCCCTGTTTGGTGCAGAGTTTTTAAAACTCAGTTTTTATATTGTCTAATAAAATAATTTTGTATGTGAATTCATTACAATTTTTACTACTTTTAAATCATATATTTTTCAAAAATATTATTTATTCTTAAAAAATTTGCATCAAACATGCTTTTAATTATCAAGATAATCTAGAGGATCTTGTTACTCGTCCATCGAGATTGACACCTGATTTTTATATTGTTTAATAAAATAATTTTGTATGTGAATTCATTACAATTTTTACTACTTTTAAATCATATATTTTTCAAAAATATTATTTATTCTTAAAAAATTTGCATCAAACATGCTTTTAATTATCAAGATAATCTAAAGGATCTTGTTACTCGTACATCGAGATTTACACCTGAGTGTATCGACTCATTCATAACAGGGGGTTCATAATTTTTTTATTTATCGTGGGCTCCCTATTGTGAGGGGTCTGACATTCGATGTACAAGTATTAAAATCCTAATCTAGATAAACGATTAATAATGGGTAGCTCCATCCTAAAATCACGTAATCCAGATAAACGGTTGATAATGGGCAACTACATCAAAAAATCACGTATCATTGAGTTTAGATTAGCCTTTTGTGTGCTTTTCATGATTGAGAAATATGGAATGTAATATTATTGAAATCTTTATGTTTTTCTGCAATTATATTTCAGAATTTAATATTCAAAAATTTCATTTTTTTGGAACTATCTCAAACAGATTCTGAAATTCCCAGTGGTTACACGCTTAGAATATAACTCTAGTCCCTGAAGTTTGTAAAAAATTTCAATTAGTTCTCGAACTTCACAAATCTGCGACAATGCCTCTGAATCTCGATATTATCTTATAATCATCCTCGGAGTAACAATTAAAGTCGGTAATTATAAGCCTGTAACTATTTCTAAATTATAATTTGGTCCTTAAACTTTTCCCAAAAATAAAAAAAATGCCTACAATCAAGTCTGTTACGATATCGTGAAAACTTATTTTTAAAATTTAGATTTGGTCACCAAACAATTCAAAGAATATCGATTTTGCCCTTAATTCTCAAACTTTACATGTAAACCGTATAGAAGAATTCCAAGTACTACACCCAATGTCATAAAAATCGGTCCGAGTATCGTACTGAAAAAGGAAAGAGTTAGGATCAAATAGTCAAATTGGAATTGACTGGTAATTTAAAAAAAAAATAAAAAATTAAACATATAAAAATGCAATAATTAAAAGATGGATTTTTTTGACAGCTTTCATAAATTTAAATTGGTGACGTAGGAGTTCAACGATTTTCATATATGCGGTCGAATCGACGAGTTTTGGGACACTTAAAAAATCTTGATTGACCAGGCTTCGGGCCTATTACTCGATTTTACCAATCGAACTAACTGGTTTAGACCGATTTCAATGTCATTGATTACATAAGTATTCGACCTAACAATAATTTTATCGTGTTTGTCGTGTTGTCTTTAATAAATTTTATAGACACTGATAACTAAAAAGAAAAGGAAAGAAGAATAATAAAGAAAACCTTGTACATCAAGATTTAGCTAAGGGATTATAAAATGATATCATTCGTCAGTTTAAAATATAGTTAATATAAGATATAATCAACTTTTTCATTTAGGGGGTGTTCTCTTTGTGTTTCAGTTTTGTGTTTTGAGTTTTAAATTCATTTTGAGTTTTGTGTTTTGAGTGTTTGTTTTGAAATTGTTGAAAATGCGTTCTTTTTGTTAATTTCTCAAAACAAAAAAAAATGGAATTTTTTTTTTTGAAATTTTGAAAAACCCCCAAAAATCCCCCAAAAAAAAAAAAAAAAAAAATTTACACTGAAAACGGTGTTTCCCGCGTTTTCAGTTTTTTCAAGTTTTACACTGAAAACGCCCAAAACGACAAAAAAGTCGTTTTGTGTTTTCTTCACAAATTTTTTTTTCGTTTTCGAAAATTCATTTTCGAAAACGGGAAAGAGAACACGTTTTCACCGTTTTGAAAAATCGAAAACAAAAAACGGCCCGAAAACGGTAAAGAGAACAGGGCCTTACTCTTTCTCTCACATTATTATTTTCATTAATCATTTATATCCCATTTTTATTTACAAATTGCAAAATCCAACAAATAGAGGTCAAGAAATATGTCTGATTTATTCCCACTGCAAATGATGAGCAGCACACTGCACAACAGAATAGGGAAAAATCTCACTTTCTTCATTCGTTCGTTTATTTATTTTGCATTTGCTTGTCTGTCCGCTTATCTGTCTTTCCATCAACCCTCCTTTTTTCGATCCCTTGTTGAATAAATTTGCGTGTATAAAACAAAAGAACAAAACCCACCTGTATTTTATTAGCTTTGATCTACAATAGACACAGAGAACGATACGCACGCAAATAAGGCACTGAATAAAGCAGGTAAAGGAAAAATCAAAGATACCCATAAATTTCGGTTGGTGTTGTGGGGTTGTTATGATTTTTAGCTTTTGCATAATACGATTTTTCACGCTTCCATTTCTCTCTCTCTATTGTTGTCTGTTATATCTTGTTAACATTTGTTTTTCTCTTTCTTGGATCCATCTTTGTCTATATAAGTTTTTTTTATTATTCAGTTTGTGGGCTTTATTTTTGTCGTTCAATTTCAACTTTTGGTTGTTGGTGATGGACGACAATTATATCAATAGGCGTGGTTATGCGGTGAGATTGCTGATTAAGATTGTTAATTGTTGTTCTGAATTGGAATTTTTCCCTTTTTATCTTTTGTTTGCGAAATAATTTAATGCAATGGTTTATTTTACAGTTCTTTTGATCATCCTATGTTTATGGTCTAATCTGAAATTATCCATAAATTGCATATGACTGTATGATTTCACGAAATTATGATACTAGGGACAATTTTTGTGTGCCAAAATCTTGAATTTTCGGAGGCTGGCTTTGGATACCAGTAGTTAAGATAATTGGAGCTTCTAGCTTTCATAAATTAAGTTGGCTCTGTTATTTATTAAGGGTTTATATTGAGCGCTTGAGATAATTGGATGGAATAAGCTTAGTCCTTTTGACACTTTCTGCAGGATGGTTGCTTACAGAGTTCTTTTCTATTTTTTGATTAATTATCTGATATTCTTAACGTAGTTCTGGTGTTACATGTGTATTTGTGTTGATTTCTTGTTTATCTGTCTCATGTTTTTGGCTTCTGGAGGTGAGTGGGAGGGTGTTCATGTGAACATTATGGTTAATGCAGATAGTGCATTCACCCTGAATGTTGTTTTTGGTGTTTGCTATTTACATGTTTAACTGATATGGTGCAGTCACATGCTCCTCCTCCTGTTTACTTTGTACCCCTGGAGAAACATACCTCCAAAGATGATCTTTATCTGAGAAAAAGAACAAGGATGCGTAGGTGGCTGTGTTGTACCTGTCAAGCTGAGGAGTCTTACCCATCAAATGACAATGAGGTCCTTAAGAGCCCCAGAAATCATGGTGATGGTATGTTCTTGTTGTTTTCAGGCTTATATAGGTGCTAATAAAACATAAGTTACATTATGTTATTTACTGTTTTAATCTTGTTCAATTTCTCATTAGTGTCATTATAGTAATAAATACTTTTTTAGATCCAAGGGACAAATTATTTCATGTAATTATGTATGGATGTTTCAGTTTAGCTTTTTTTTGGAGGGAAATAAGCTTTGGAGTTTGGTGTTTGGAGTTTTCTACCAATTACCACTACTCATCTCTGTAAAATACTGAAGTATCTGTTGTGGCTATGTTTGTTCTGTCCTTCCTCTGATTAGTTCAAAGAAACTGAGTTTGGTTTAAAATAAGAAATGCATCAAGCATCTTGATTAGGCATGGATTATCACTGACATTTTGTGCCAAGTCAGAGTGGTTATTGAAGTGGATAGATATGGTGGAATTCAAGTTCTGCCATCTGTTGCTATTTTTATTTGGTGTATTCTGGATGAAATGGTGTAAGCTCTGATGAAATGGACAGAATGTTATATATAATATCATTCATGTATGGGTTACATACCGACATCGTTTGGTGCTTTTTGTGCATACTGTACTTCCCTTGACCACATGGTGAAAGGAAATAAAGGAAGAACTAGAATGCATGCTTAGTACGGCTTTGTATCTGCATCAATGATATGCAATTTATTGTTGTTCCTATGGTTTATAGCTTCTTAGTATGTGTATATATATATATATATATATAGTTTTCATTTTCCTTGAAAAACTACATAAATGCTTGCACATTTATATAAATGAAATGTAGAAAGATGTAGTACGATTTACATGTCATTTTTTCCCTACCTTCAAAAACTACTCTCAAATTGAAGTATAAATAAAATTTTCCAGTAATCGTTTCTGCCATTAATGTTCTTTTTATGTGCATTAATTATTTATTTTATATATATATATATATTTTATTTTTTTGAGGCATTGCTAGTCTTGATTATAGCATGGTTATTGTATAAGAACTTGTTATTTCTTAAGCTGTTATTAATCATAGCTTTGTTGTTCAAACGAATCAATTAGATAAATTATAATGATCTTTCTTTTAAGAACTATCGGGACTTAAGATAGTTGTAACACTTGATGGATATTCAGTCATGCAAAATGACAATAATTAGGATACGAAATACTAATATTGTGTGAACTAACACATACAAACTGTGTATGAGTGATTGTGGAATATAATGATGATATGGAATATTCTCTGAAGATGAAGAATATTCATGCATTTTGGACATAATTTATATGCTATGCTGCCGGCTACTTTATTTGTCAATGTTAACTTATGTACGACATGATTTGATTAGATTGCTTCTGTTAACTTGTGTAATTGGCTACCCTTATTTTCTATCTTTGTATCTCATTCCTTCTATTACTATATTCTTTCTTCATCAAATCTGGGCACTACACAAGAATTACTTTTTCATCTTGTGCTGTAATGTTGTTCCATCACTATGTGCATCTTTTGTCAACAAGCAGTGACACATCAACCATAAAGCTTGTACAAGACAAAATAAATTAGCTCAATCCCTACCTTTTTGAAGAAACTTCCAATATATTTCAACTGTTCTTTCAAATTTAATAATATTGAAAATGGATGCAATTCTTTTGCTTAAACAAATACCTAATTTCAAACCTCAAGTTGCCTGCTAGTAGTGCATTTTGATTTTTTATTTTATTCACTGTGTGCCCTCATATTCAAGCTAGCTGGACTTGATTGTGGAACTTTCTGCTTGCTCTGTAACATATTAAGAGATTACTTAGGTCTTCTATACTTTCTTACATAGTGCCTGTTTGAGAGAAATTTTCATCCAGATTTTAATTCATTATTTGACCGTTGCCAATGCAAAATGGGCCCACTGCTGTTGCCTTTTTTTGACTTCCTTCTCAGATAAATTCTCACACTGGGACCAACCTGCACTTTGCAACGGTAAAAAGATTGCTTTTAATCTTGTAGAAATTGTTGCCAGACAAGGGGATAATTTGAGGTGACATTTGCCAAATTGTGGACAAGTTACTAAGAAAATGGTCACGTTTGAAGGCTTATAGTACATGGGTATGAGAGAGTAGTGAATTCGGCATTCATCATATATTTACTAGGAATATGTTGCCTTCTTGAATGTGTCTTCTCTGTCTTGTAATAATGAGTTTTGTATAGCTGGTTTGTTGGCACTTAATATTTCTTGAGCATAATGTATTTGATTTTTATTTTCTTTCATATCGTGTATACCTTTTGCTTGTGATAATGCTTATTTTCTAAATTATTAACTTTATCACAAAGATTTATATAGCATCTAATTCCATTGAGGTTCATAACAAATTTTATTTTTTGATTTTATTCACTTCATTTATATATGGATTTACAATCTAGGGCATCAAAGAGCGTCTAAGGCTTCAGCTCCTTTGAAGACTGAAGTTCAAAAGACAGTACCTCCTATTCAAGTGCCTGCATTGTCTCTTGATGAACTGAAAGAAAAAACTGACAATTTTGGATCTAGTGCATTAATTGGCGAAGGATCTTATGGAAGAGTATACCTTGCACAGTTGAGTAATGGAAAAGAGGTTGCTGTTAAGAAACTTGATGTGTCATCTGAACCTGATTCAAACGTCGAGTTTTTAACTCAGGTATGTTGATAGTTTTTTGTGGTTTCAAATATTTTAGTCTCTTAAATTGTAAATCTCATTTTGATTTTGTGTGTTGTGCACTGATATGTGAAATGTAACCTTTTTAAATTTTTTATTAAGGTGTCAATGGTGTCAAGGCTGAAGAATGAAAATCTTGTTGAGTTGCTTGGTTATTGTGTAGATGGCAATCTTCGTGTCTTAGCATATGCGTTTGCGACCATGGGATCTCTACATGACATTTTGCATGGTATGTAGTCTGCTAATTAGGTTCCTAGCAAATTTTAGGCACCATAAAGAGGTTATCTAATTGTATTGCAATAATAGGAAGGAAAGGAGTACAAGGGGCACAACCGGGCCCTGTACTTGATTGGATACAACGTGTAAAAATTGCTGTTGATGCTGCAAGGGGACTCGAATATTTGCACGAGAAGGTTCAGCCTTCTATAATTCACAGAGATATAAGATCCAGCAATGTGCTTCTATTTGAAGACTATAAAGCCAAAATTGCGGATTTTAACCTATCAAATCAGGCTCCTGACATGGCTGCTCGCCTTCATTCTACTCGTGTTCTCGGAACATTTGGTTATCATGCACCAGAGTAATGACTCTTTACTCACCTTTCATTATTTGAATATTCCTCTGTAGTCAATTTTTCTATCTTCTTCTTTGGACCGTGTATCTTGTGCTTTTTGCTGACTCTGTTTATATTCTAGCTGTCTCAGTGTAGTCACATTTTATGTTTACTGCTAAAGTTTATAATCCATCAAATATAGTTTCTTTCAGCTTTAATTAAAAATGTAATGCTCATCCTTTGCATTTCCAAAATATGCAACTTGACTTCCAAAGTTCATTGATAGGATGGAACATTCGAGGAGTGTATATGTCTGATGCAGGGAAAAGCATGACCAAATATTGCAATTTTGTTTACAGTGGAACCGATCGAAAAATTTATTGTATCTATGTGTGCATAGTATGTTTGAACTTGAACATGGTATATATTAACAAATACATGAGATCTCGATTCTTAATTTCAAATTAAGATACTGAATTCTTCATTTCAAGTTTAGATACTGAAGAAATATCTCATGCCTCCACACGTTTGAAGAGAATTTGACTGCACAATCATGATATTAAATCATATTAGCCTTAAGACAATTCATTGAGGATGCTAAAGAGTTTTTCTAATATTAGTGTGAACTGCTTTCTGATATGAACTATTCAGATGGCCTACAATGTTCACAAGCCACCTCATATTAATCTCTAAATGCATTGCTTTATTTATTTATTTTATTATTATTATTATTATTATTATTATTATTATTATTATTATTATTATTATTATTCTCATCTAGAATTATTGCTAATCTTTAATGCAAAGAGTCCAATAATGACTTGTTCGAAACATTTATACAGGTGTTCTGCCACATCAACAATATAGCACATGCAATCTTCTAGTGACCACTGAATATTTTTGTGTTTTCTCACACCTAGATTTTAGTGTTTCTTGGCACAATGAGAAGCATCACTAGTATGTTAGCCATGGAATTTATGCAGCCAGACTGATATCATAGTCTTAGTTTACTACTCAGAAATATGTTTCTTTGTGAAAAAAGAAGTTTCTTATTATGAGGAATTACTTTATTATTGCATTCAACATCCTGCCTTAGGCTGAAATGTCAACAAGGAATGTGCTTGTTGAACCACTTCAACATGCACCTTCATGTGTAGTGGGGTTCATTATTTTCCCATCAAATCCTGACACGTGTGATTTTCGGTGAGATTTAACTACCTCTGGCTTGCTTTTATATAGCCCCTGTTTGTTTCCCATTATTTCCTTATTAAAATGAAAAATATGACCGTTATCCATCACATTAAGCCACCAAATTTGAATTTCTATCTCGTGTGGGAGTCATAACGGCTATATTTTTCATTCCAATTCTTATAAAAATGGGAAACAAATGCCCCCATAATGTTGAAGCGTTTGATCTAAAAGCTTGAGCTCTTAGAGAGGGCCATATGTATATTATTTAAATCTTGTCTTCAATAGTATTTATATGATGTGGATGTTTACACAATAAAGTGATAATTAGGTATCACATGTATTTGGATTTGGAGCAGATCAAATGAAGTTTATACTGGATTGTTATGCTTGTTTATGTTGAGTAAGCTGGTTGAATATTATTATATCGGATTAGTTATTTTAAGTAGGCTACTTGAATTTATTATGTTGGATGGGTTATGCTTTCAAGTTAAAGGCACTTTGGTCATTTTAATATTGTCTGGACATGGCTAGTCTGCAGCAATTGATAGTGCCTAATAAGTTGTTTAATATTGTCCAACGTTTCGCTGTAATATTAAGTGGGCTATGAGCTCTTAGAGTTGCTTGATTATTCAGTTTGTTAAAAAAATTTTGTTTTGTATTTCGCGACAGGATAGGGAAATCCAGTTGGATTTTAGTATTGTAGAGAGTTTTCTAGAGAGCTAATTGACCTTCTGATCCAAGTGGAAGAACGATTTGAATATTTTCACTTAAAGAAGTCTATGAACCTATGATTAAGCTGTGGGTGGTGAAGAATTTCATAGTTCTAAAACTCTGCTGAGCATCCAGACCAGGAGAACCAGACCATGTAGCTGAAAAGACTGCTTAGTCAATCGATCGCTTTGACCCATTTGACTTGATCAACTTCTTTAAATTTTAGCGACTTTGAGCAAAACCTAAGAGGCCTAAAAGAATCTTATCTGATGTAAAAAATCCAACCTGGAAAATATATCTCACCTTAAAAACTCGCTTATATCCAATTGAAATGGCATTGGCATTATAACTGAGAGGAGCTATTGTAATTTAGCTAGCAAAATTAAAAAAAGAAATTGTTGCTTATATAATGAAATAACTTAAATACTGACTTATGAGATGAAACTAAGTGCGTCACTACTTCATAATTTGTCTTACTGATATCTTTAAATTTTCTTTCTATATTTTCATTTGATTCATGTAGTGTTGAATTATGACTTAAATACAATTTTTAGTTTAGTTCTTCAATGGTTTCTTGCTAATGCATTAGAATATTAAAATTATATTTCTAAAATATTTTCATTGGCCCAACTATCAACCCAATTTACATATTGGCTGAACCAAGAACATATCAATGTTGAGCTGAATTTTTGAACTTGCTTCTGCCGATGTAAGTTGTCCTCAGTTATCTCCTAGCTTCTCTATTCGAGGACTGCATCCCCAGCTAATGTATATAGTTCAATGCCCACATAGGAATAGGTCGATCTGTTCATTTTTAAAAGTATGTATCCTGACTAATTTCTGTTCGCAAATATATTGCAGATATGCAATGACAGGACAGTTGACACAGAAGAGTGACGTGTATAGTTTTGGGGTGGTTTTGCTTGAGCTTCTAACTGGAAGGAAACCTGTTGATCATACCATGCCTCGTGGGCAGCAGAGCCTTGTTACCTGGGTAAGCCTTTTACGTTTGCCTGTTCTTATCATTTTTCATGTTACAAAATCTCAGTTTTCCCCCTTCTTTTCTTCTATTGTTCGATTCATGATAATCACCGTAGTACATGTAGTTTACCGCATCTGTTATACTTCTTTTAGGCCACTCCAAGACTGAGTGAGGACAAAGTTAAACAATGTGTTGATCCAAAACTCAAGGGAGAGTATCCTCCGAAAGGAGTTGCTAAGGTCCTGTCTCTCTCTCTCTCTCTTCAAATAACAAGGCAAAATTGCACCATCGTTCTCAAATTTATTGCCGGAATAGCAAGTTGATTCTCAACCTTTTATTATAGTTGCACGATCCATCCCCAATGCCAGAAACCGTATTACTCTTCATTTGAGCCGTCACATCCCCCTCAAAAGAATCCCTTCAAATTTATTGTCACAAGGCCAAGTTGAGAAACAGAATTTAACTTCGCAAAGTTCGACATGTGAGTATGATGTGACAGTTTTTTAATAGATTTGGACATCTAATTTCGTCAATGGTAACTAATTGTACAAATACAATCTAATGCTGAACTTAAATCAAATTTTAGGGTTAGGGAACAACTTGCTATTCGGGAAATCAGGTGCCAGTAGTCAATTTTTTCAGCTAGTACATGTACCCAATTCATGCACTTATAAATAGGAAAAGAAAAGTTCACCTTTCTAATTATGCAACCGTGCATCCAATTATTCAGCTGGCAGCTGTTGCAGCACTGTGTGTACAGTATGAAGCTGAGTTTCGACCAAATATGAGCATTGTTGTCAAGGCTTTGCAGCCACTGTTGAAGTCAACTGCCCCGGCTCCTGAGATGTAGAGCGAGAAAATCAGTTGCTCCGTGTTTGAAATTCTGCTACTTCTGCCATAATTTGGGTTCATTTCTGTGTGAATTTCTTTCGCCGCTCCATAAATATATATTTTTTCATTTTTTTTCCCGAACTTGAAACATGTAGGATTGATTGCTATGGTTCCCTCAAGTTTTTTGCCTATTTCAAGTATGTTGGTGATGTCTTTAAAATTGTGATTGGGCAATGGGATTGAGAATGTATTAAAGAATCCATATGCTTCTCAGTTTTTATATAATTCTGGATTTGAGCTTTTATTGTGCTTTATTATGATTTGTCCTCATGTTCATAAGTTGGATTATTTCAACTTCAAAGGGGAATGGAAAGTTTTGAGTACTCAAAACTTCATACTAACCATTCAAACGAAGGACACCTGAAGATAATATTAGCAAAAATCTCGAAGCTCCAAGTTTGGAATAATCCACACATGTTCACTTAAAATTATTCATAGAAATCAAGAACTATTTTAATAGAGATTCAATAATTGGAATCTCTCTCTAAATTGATAAGCATGCAAATACATTTATTTTAATAATTGTGTCTATTGTTTTACATGAAGTGATTTAAAAAAAAAAAAAGAAAAAAAAAAGAAAAAAAGAAAAAGGGAAGAGTATAAACTTTCTAAATTTTTGATGATTTTTTTTATATTTTTAATTTTTATTTTAAATTAACCTTTTTTTAATTGTAAATTAGTTTCATTGCTTTGAGATAATGGTGCTTATACTTATGAACGAGTGGCGTGCTTTTTAGAGATATTAACAATATTAATAGAAAGCATTTCAATTAATTCATCACGACTTTTAACATATCTACGTAATGACATATTGGTGCTATGATCGTTAAATTGCATGGAAAACTCTGAATATTTTCTCTCAAAACGGAACAACTAATGTACCTGCTTATTCATAAATTATAATTGCTAAATTTTGTGACATCCATTATGATTTTAGATGAGTTGGTGTGGGAAATGGTTTGACATGTTATTACATCCATTATTTTTAAGGATACTTAATAGCGGTAGGCTCGTTCATAGTGAACCAAAAATGGGGCGAATTGATTATTCGTAAATTTTAAGTATGGTGACTTGAAAAACATAGTTACATCAAATTGAAGTTCTGACCTAATTGCAAGTATTGTAAAAGTTTAAGGACTTTCATTGGAATTAACCCAAACATAAACCCTCTTATCAATCTATTCGTTGTAAATATAAATATAAACCTCTTAACAGTGAAAGTTCTCTCTATTCTATTCTTTTCTCTTCTCCTCTCCTCTCTCTCAAATGTGAAATCAGTACACTATTCTTTCATGGCTGAGACTTTGCATTCTGCCGAGGCCCTCAAAATGACTACTTCTCCAACTCAATCCCACAAATTTCTCTCTTCCCCGAAACTACACTCGCCTAACGAAGGAGAAATTGAAGAAGCCCTTCATGATGATACAAATGACAACCAAAGTAGAGGTGTTTTAATGTTAAAGAAGCTGGAGTGTTGCTTTTCTGGTTATGAACAAGATTCAGAGTTGGATACGGAGACCCTGAAAACTGCAGTCATTCAAGATTCACCCTCTGGTAATGTTGTATATGACGCTACCTTGGTCGGTACTGATATGGTTGTCCCTGAAATTGAAGAACCACCTTCTTCTTGTGTGGTGAAGTTTCCTGATGATGCGATTGATTCAAGAAATGAAAAGAATCGCGAGGAGAAGTTTGCTGACGATTCAGTTTATTCAAGAACTGGGACGAAGCAAGAAAGGAATTTTGTTGATGATGGAATTGATTTAAGAATTTTGACGAAACAAGAAGGGAATTTTGTTGATGATGGAATTGATTTAAGAACCGTGACAAAACAACAAGGGAGTTTTGCTGATGATGCAATTGATTCAAGTACCGCGAAGAAACAAGAAGGATTTTTTGCTGATTATGCAATTGATTCAAGTACTGTGAAGAAACAAAAAGATAATTTTGCTGATGATGGAATCGATTCAAGAACTGTGACGAAACCAGAAGGGCATTTTGCTGATGATGCTATTGTCTCAAGTACTGTGAAGAAACAAGAAGATAATTTTTCTCGAGATGATATTGATTCAAGAACTGTGACGAAACAAGAAAAGATTTTTTCTGATTATGCAATTTATTCAAGTACTGTGAAGAAACGAGAAAGGAAGTTTGCTGATGACAACGTTGATTCAAAATCTGTGATGAAACTAGAAGGGAATTTTTCTGATGCAATATGTTCAGGAACTGTGAATAAACAAAAATATAAGTTTGCTGATGATTCAATTGATTCAAGAACTACGAGGAAAAAAGAGGATAAGTTTTCTGATGATGGTTCAAGAACTGTGAAGAAACAAGAGAAATTCGAATCAGTAAAATGTGCTTTGAAGATTCAAGTGATTGATGAGACAGCACTCATCGAGTCACCCCGTCTCGGATATGGGACATTTAATAATGGGAAGCGCCAAAAAACTCAGGGGACAAAGGAGAAAAGGCCAACGAAAAGGAGCTCGAAAGCTGCAGAAAAGGTGGAAACTTCAGGAACCCAATCCCAAGATTATGGCTACATTGGGAATAAAGGGAAGAAAAGACTGGTGTATTCGAGGAAGAAGATCGAGGCTTTGAGATTTGTGGGATTGGAAGCCCAGAAGAAAAAGTGGATTGAAATCTACTGTGGGCTTGGTCCTTTGGTGGCAAAGGAGTATGATGAACTGTCTCATCATCAGAAACACAATGCTAGGACCCAGTTCTTGAGAGTTTCCGTGCCCCCTAGATACTTGGGTGAGCAGTTTCGTCATTTCTTTCAGCTATCTGTTAGGCTACAAGTCAAATTTTTGTGTGTTTTCGAGATTTTGCCAAATTTTTGTGCTCTGATCTTGAGCATATTGTTATGATTATTATTGCTTGTGATTTGCGCTTCTTCATTTGTGTTCTACAGATTGTCTTTTAAACTTGTCTTTTTCTTGTTTTCAGTAGTATCTTTTCTTTTAATCCTATGTGGTGGCAATGAACTGACATGATTTCAGAGTGTGTTACAGATGATCAATGAGGTGAAATTTAAGGGACGAAGATATGGAAAATACTTTGAAATTCCATTATGTAGTTGTCTGAGTTAATCTGAATTTAACACTGCTCTTGGCGAAATGTGTGTCAATAATTATTCACGTGTTATTCTGTTCTTTTATTATACAGTCTATTTACTTTGGGTTTCGAGGGAACTGGAAAGGACTGAGAGAAATTCTTATCTTTAACTAGTCAATTTTTATTTGAGTAATCAATGATTTTGAGCTGAATTACAAGGAGTGATATTGAATTTTTGTGGTGTTAAGATGATTCCCATTGTGTTCTTGCTCTCCATCAAGAAAAAAGTAGCATCTTTCTTTACCCATTGACTCATATTTGTGAATTTAGTAAACAAATAGAAGAAGAAAGAAACAAAAAAAGAAGAAATCGATCATTTTGATTATTACAACAAAAAATGAATATTTTTAGAAACATTTTCATATACATAAAACTGGAAGAGTTAAACACTAATTATGAGTGTTTTGAAACTTTCTTTCTTCGCCTCGTCTGTTTTATTTTAACATGATAAATAAGCAAATGGAAGTATGCTTGTAATCTTCATTTCTGATTTTCTCCAACAATTTTGATATCCATTGTTTTGACTACATGATTTTCCAACTCTGCAATTACAAAAATTAAATTAAAAAATTTCAGCCTTTTTCATTTCATCAAAATGTGCTCGTGACTATTTGATTTGACTATTTTCACTATGCCTGAGACTTGTTTCCAGATAAGGGTTATGAGTTTTTCTTTAGCTATTTCCATGTTACTCTTTTGTCTTGGATTTCAACAGTGGTTGCCCAGTAATCTAAATCCCCTCACCCCATGGAATTCTCGTTCTTTATTCTTCTTAAAATGTTTTTGCCTTTTTCCTTTTGTGTTTTTCTTCGTCCGTCATTTCTTCTTTTCTTTTCATCTCCGACCTTTATTCTGATTTATGGTCAGTTTGAGTCTCTGGTTATAACTGGGATTGAAAAATTCTTATTGTTTGGGAAAAAGGCTAAACTCTTTATCTTTTTTTGTACTTGTTGTTCTTGTCATACTTTAGCTTTTCTAGATTTTATTTCACCCTTATTGTTCTCTATCTACTTTATCTAATCTAGTTTTCCCATTGCCTTCCTCGTGTGTTTCCAATGTCCAGTTTATCGGGGCCTGGTGTCTAGTGAATTTTCTTTAGCCTTTTTTCTTCTGCTTGATTGTTTTTAAGTTGAGGGAAGGGTCCTTGAGGCGGGAAAATTTGTCTTGGTAAAAATGAAAACCTTTTAAAAATATTTTAAACAGTATACTTAATTACATATTGGCATTTTTATGTTTTTTAATTTTATTGCCTTTCTATTTATGCCTCATAGATATTTAGTTCTTATTGTGTCAATTTGATGGGATTATTTTCGTTGACACAGGTGCGGTTGCGGCAAAGAGAGAAGGAAACCATCTGAAAGTCTCTGTGCGCTGAAGAATGGCTTCTAGGAGATGCAAAGAACATTTTTGCTCCAAAATCTATCTCTAGATTTTTGCACTAGAGTTAGAATAGTTGCTGAATTTTACAGGGAAGCTCAAATAGTTCATATGATTGTTCTGAATCATTGAATGTGCTATGCATTTCTTTTGAAATGAGTATATGATGGCACATTCTAGGTGTAAATGTATGTGAATTTGCCTGCAATTGCAAATCGAACAATAAAGTCTGGTAGAATTTGTTTATTGGAATGTTGTAGACATCTGTTGATTGTATAAAGGTTTTTCTTTTAAAAATCTTAGATAAATGTCTTGTTTGAATTATTTTTCTTCTCCTTTGTGTTATTGATGGATGAATAACTTCTACGTTGTAGATGACGGATGTTTACTAAATTTGTCCACACCTTTCAGGTGAAAGGCAGTCTTGAATTTGCAGAGAGTCACTTTAAAAATGTGAATACTAGAGATACTGCCTCGTGTTTTCCTGGTAGTGATGTAGTTGACTGCTAAGTTGTGGAAGGAGAGTGCAGTGAAGATGACGCCGCTGATGAAGATTACAGTAGCATACAAAAGCCTGCCTCTTTGGTTACAGGAGAACCCGAATTTGATTCAGGGTCTCCACAAGATGGACTAGAATATCTTTGGCATGTAAGGTATCATTTTCACTGATCAAGATTTTTGTGTGCACATATAATTTTCATTTTTGTTCATGTTAGCTTTTGCTATTGGATAACTTGGTTCCAAATACAGTTATTCGAGGCTCTAAATAATGATATTTTGTAGTTTTTGTGATGAAATATAGCCTAATTCGTGTTATATATTGTCAAATAAGTAGAACTTTGATGTTTGATGAGAATTAGAAAAAAGAATGCAAAAATAGTGAAAAATGGCGCAACCCAAAAGTCGAGGATTAAATTGTAAACAATCCATAGATGAGACGGGTGATGAAATAAAAATCAAAGATGCCAAGAATTTAATTGGATACAATTGAAAGATAAAGGAACAATATTATAAGAAAAAATAGCTCGATCGAATCAAATACAAAGATTGGGGATTAAAATGCAATACTTCAAAAGTTGAGTCGGATTGCAAAACGATGATTCAAGAATACTAATGGTCAAATGGAATTGAAGATAAGTCAATGGCATGGGAATTTGTTGAAAATGATCAAAATACATGTGAGAAAATGCGATAAAAAAATTGTTCCTTGCTTAAGCATGGCTTGAAAGTTCCCTCCAGAGATCAAATCACATGTACCGTGTGTACGCACCAAATGAATTATGCACATGTATGGTTCAATTCTGAGAAGAAATTTTGTTTCCTTATTTTATTTTGGAAATTTTTGTTATGTAATCTTTTGGCACTATATATATATTACAAGCTGTCCAAAACGTGAAAAACCTCCATTTAATATAAAATAATCATATATTCTACGTATTTTGGAGACGAAGAATAAGCAAATTGCAATGATATTAAAGATTCTTCATCCAGAATCAAGATTCACATCAAGAACGTGGAAAATTCATGTTTCTTCACTATTTCTTCTTTTTCGGTGATGATTTTTCAATTGTTCTTTTGTAATTTAATTTTAAACATGTTATGTTAGTTTTTCAATTTATTGGATGATTGAGAAATTCAATTTTTGTTTATTTTAATTTAAGACTTTGATTTAGATAATTCTTACTATTTCTTGATTGATTTTGCATTTTTATTGCACTATTTAATTATTTGGCTATCAGTTGAATAGTTAGTTACTTGTTACAGTGTAGAAATACTCACAATAAGTTTATAACAAGATAAAATCAGCACATGAACAATAAGTGTTGTGAATAATATCTAAGGCATATGTAATCATGTAAATAACCTAACCTAAGTACATGATTTTTATATAATTTGGTCTAGGAATAGGATCGGTCGTGTTAATCATAGATTGATACATATTGAAAAAGAGCATTTAACATATTAGCGTTATCAATTGTAAAAAATACATAAAATTAACTAGATTATTAATTGATAATTGAAATATATGGAAATAGGGGGAATTATGAATCCAGTATAAGAAGTCACATTCGATAAAACTAAAATTTACTTGCTTTATTAGTATAGATTAGTAGTAGTATAAACAACTACAAAATCACTCTTTTTCTATCACTACTCACTCGAATTAAATATAAACTATTGAATTATATTTGAAACATTATTCGTCGTGGGAACAATAAACTCGAAACTCTATATTTCTATTACTTGTACAATGATCTCATACAGTTGCGAATTCAAGCGAACAAGCATGCCGAATGACTGATTTGTATAGTACCTAATTTTAGTACTTATAACTAAAACACGGGTAATATCTAAACCCTTTTATGTAAACTTTTTTTTGGTAAAATTAGGCCCTGTACGGCCCATTTATTAAAAAATTGATTAATACACTTTTAAAGTTTTATCTCTTCATTAGCATTAATTAACCATAAATTTTACTGTTACAATAAAATCAAACAAGGCAAAAACTAATCTAATTCCACGAACACCGCACCCTACCATTTAGTTGATTCTTGTAAAGGAATGTGTCGATCCACAAGGAAACGGGACACACAAATGAATATAATGATTTGTTTGTTCTCCCGCCGTCCACTATCATACCAAATCTGACTATTAATCATTCATGAATCAGTCCCAACCAAACCCTAAATCTGTAATTTCATTATGGTGATTTTCGGTCAATACACTTTTAGTGTTTCTGGCCCACTATTCCATATCATCAATGCATTCCTTGTCACCATGGTAGGTGGTGTTTCCGACTCCGATTTGAAGTATGAAGTTCACCTCTCTCGCTCATGTTTATTTTCTATTTTTTTTTTGGGGTAATATTTATTTAATGAAAAATACTAAAATCCATTGTGAAATCGTGAATTAGAGGACCATTTAAGGTGTTTTGAATGTGAAGAAAAAGATTGATATCTTGTTTTTCTTTTTCTGGTATAAATTCATAGTTTAATCTTAAAAAATAATAATTGTCAACCTTATGATTTTTCTGTAATTGTTCCATTGTTGCTTTGGTATTTATTTACATCTTGAGTGTATAATTTGCATCTTATGTTTATGGTTAAATTTCATTTCAGGTGCCCTTGTGGCAAAGGTCATTAGATCTTTTTGTATGAAAACAGTTGTTACTACAAACTAACAAAATTTTGAATTACTAATCTCAATCTTTGCTTAGAATATTTCCATGTGATCAGTAACGAATAGTCAACACCTATTTTCCCTTATTTATCAAGTTTGTGTCTAATTGTATAGAAAATATTAGTTAGATAATGTTCATGGTTGCATAGGCACTATTGGATTTCAGCTTACAGATTGTTGACGAGGCAAAGATGGAAGATGCATGTGATGAACAAGCTCAACATGAATCATTTTTTAATTTGTGTCACTTTTTTGAATTTTTGTCACTTTTTTCAATTACATTCTTGATTTCTATCACTTTTTTAATGATAAACATCACTTTTAATTAAAGTGACATGTATATCATTTCCAGTAAGTGTCTGAAGTTGCCAGTGTGAGGGCAGAGAGTGGTGGTTGCACCATATATTTCTCTGATTGAGTCATCGACTCACCACCGAAAAAGAGTTGTATTAGGATTAGTCCCTTAAGGTCTAATGGCCTCAAACTGGACAATCCAGATAGTCTGATGGCCACATTATAGGTCGTGCCCAATATTTATTTAGTTGGATATAAGTAGCCTTTTGATTAATTGTTCAATGGAGTTATGATATATTTTAATACACTGAACAATAAATTAAGGAGTCCATTACCATCTAAAATCGATTATTAATTTACATGTGATCAGTAACGAATAGTCGACACCTCTTTTCCCTTACTTATCAAGTTTGTGTCTAATTGTATAGAAAATATTAGTTAGATAATGTTCATGGTAGCATAGGTACTATTGAATTTCAGCTTACAGATTGCTGACGAGGCAAAGATGGAAGATGCATGTGATGAACAAGCTCAACATGTATCATTTTTTAATTTGTCCCTTTTTTGAATTCGCCCCTTTTTTTTTTCCTTTTTTTTTTTTTTTTTTTTTATAGTGTTTGTCACTCTTTTCAATTACATTCTTGATTTCTATCACTTTTTTAATGACAAACATCACTTTTAATAAAAGTGACATGGTATATAGAAAATGACACTTAACAATTGATTTCTATGCCCTCTCATTTGTTTTGAATCTATGTAACTTTTTTTTTTAATTTGTCTCTTTTTTATATTTGTCACTTTTTTTAAGTTTCTGTCACTTTTTTGAATTTTTGTCACTTTTTTAGTAATTCTCACTTTTTTGAATTTTTCACTTTTTTTAGCGTTTGTCACTTTTTTCAATTGCTTATTTGAAATTTCTATCACTTTTTTAGTTACGAACATTACTTTTTAATAAAAGTAACATTGTATGTAATTTTTTAATAAAAAAGTGATACTAAACTTTTAAAAGTGATATTGTGTCATTTTTTCTAAAAAAAAAGTGACGCAACTCTTATGAAAAAGTGACATTGTGTCACTTTTTAATTTTATACAGTATTTTTTACTTCTAAAAAATTTTTCATATGATTTTTCAAAATCCTCATAATTTTAGGGTATTTTTTGTAAGTTGCCCCCATTTTTTTAAGGTAACCAAGTAATTTTATTAATTATTATTAATTTAAACAAAAAAGAAAGAACATGAAATTAAACAACCCTTTTATAAGATTAGTACCCGCAGCATTAAATCAACTATACAAAGTTTGATAAAACAGTTCTTTGATTTTTCTTTGCTGTCAATGTTTGGCTTTCAAAACAGTAGTTCCTTCTCTCCACATGCACACACACTCCCCCATACAATGTGTCCCGAAATAAGATCTGATACAAGTTTGCTATCATTATCAAGAAGTTTTATTTTCCATGCCTACAACACGTCCTCGATATGCCTAAGCAACACCCAATCCATTTACTAAAAAGCTAGAATAGTGTTCCACAGCCAACAAACACCATCACAATGAATGAACAAGTGATCAATCGTTTTCCCATCTCTCCACGTATAACAACAATCGGTTACATAAAAACATTTTTTTCAAAGATTTTCCACTGTTAACAAAACTATCCATGATGAAAATGTCACTCATGAAGGCAATTTACATAGCCACACCATTTTCTAGTGGAATGAGCTCTCCACATGTCCTAAAAGGCATCTAAAATAAGTGTGAACTAAAAAAATACTAGCCCGTGCCAACCTCTACCTGCTATGATCACTCTCTGCTATCTAAATTTGCACTCCATGCAAGGAGCTAAAGAACAACGCATATCATTCAATTCCCAATCTTGTAAACTCCTTTCAAAAATAATATTCAGCGATAACTCCCGTTGTGAATGTCTAATACATCATATACCATAGTAGAAGGCCCCAGGGCAATGCGATGCAAGGAAGGAAATCTCACTTTTAGTTGGCTGATCTCTATACCAACAATTATTTCAAAATCTAATATTATTACCATTCCCACGGCAAAAGTCAATCTATCCCGAAAGTCACTCTGTCCTCATCAGATAATACCTCCACAAACTTATCCCATAAGAACCATGAACCTCGACTGAGCACATACCCCCCTCCATCACACCATACTTCGCCATCATGATTTCTCTCCATAGACACTTTCTTTCTACTTCAAATTGCAACAGCCGCTTTGACGTAGTGGAAGCTTATATGAAAGATGAACAAATCTTACAAATATG